GAGAAGAGGAAAGGCAAAGAAGAGCTGTTTATTTATTCTGTCAAGGGAGGTGAGGGAATAGTTTAAGAAAAAGGAATTGGAATAGAGACCCAGGAAGTTCTTGATTCAAGATCCTAATCAAGGTAAGTAAGAAGAGACAGAAGAAAGTACCAGAAATCTTAAGGATTAAACATGCAATATTAGTTATAATAAAAAATAAACTGAACACTTACTTTTGTCAATCGCTATACTGTGTCCTTAAACAGCTACCAAAGCACAAAAGCTAAACAGTTTGCCCAAGCTCACAAAGCTGGAAAGCAACAGAGCTGGGCTTCAAGCCCATCATTCAAACTCATCACCTAGGTTTAACAATACTATCATCACAACTAATAATTGCCAATAATTATTTAATATTATTTAATACTGAGATCCTATTTAAGTGTTGTTATCACAGTAATGCCTTTTACAGCTGTTTTTTCATACCAGATACAATCAAAGTCCAGACATTGCCTTTGGTTATTAGGTCTCCTAAGTGAGAGCCTGTTTCATAACCTCTTTTGGTGGAAAAATATCAACATTTAAAATACAGTTGGACGGGCTGGCCCTAGTGGTCCATGCCTATAATCCCAGAGCTTTGGGAGGCCAAGATGGAGGACTTCTCGAGGCTGGGAGTTCAAGAACAGTCTGAGCAACATAGCAATATCCCATTTCTAAAAAAAAAAAAAAAAAACTAGCCAGGTATGATTGTGCACACCTGTAGCTCTAGCCACCTGGGAGGCTGAGGTAGCAGCATCACTCAAGCCCAGGAGTTAGAGGTTACAGTAAGCTCTGATCATGCCGTTGCATTTCTGCCTGGTTGACAGAGTGATACCCTGTTTCTAAATAAATTCATACACTTGGAAATTCATTTGAGTAAGAATTTTCAACTGTATTCAGAAAACATGATTGAAATAAACGTATAACCTGTGTGAAATACAATTTTAAATTTTTGCTGAAAAACTCAATTACGTCATTAATTTTTAAAATTCTAGAACAGCTTTGGTTGAGAAAACCTCTAGATCCCTTCAGTAGGCTACAAAAAGAATGCAGAAGATGCAAACTATGTTCAACAGGAAATAGATGAAGTAAAGGGAGGAATGTATAGAACCTTGTTTCTGATTCGAAGAAGAGTCATAATGTTGTTTTCTATTTTATTATCTTTTGCTAAAGAAAAGCTGGGCTGTAAGCAAAAAGCCTGGAAGAACAAATAGAAGTACTTTCCTCTGATATGTTCTAGGAAGAAAGGTTTCTCTTTCTAGGAGAGGAAACACTAAAATAAAAAGCTTTTGGTCAGAGTTTTGATACCTGACCTCAGGCTGGCCCTCAATCACTGTTTGGCAGACCTAGCATGGAATCCCACTGCTGCCAGAAATGGCAAGGGAAACAGGCCAGCTGATGTTTCACATCACGTGCTCACTTCTCAAACACAACTTTCTAAGTAACTGTAAACCTTAAAAAATGCTTTCACTTGCAAAAACAAAAGGATATAATAAAATGTAGAGTGATTTGGAGTTTCAAAGTATTTTTACATCCCTTATCAATTTAATTTTTCTTGATAACCCAAAAAGGGTATTATCATTAAACCTCTTTTATGGGCATCTAAAGTTGGCTGGGATCAACTTGCTCGGGAGCCTGGACTGTGAGTCATTCTTCTGAATCTTAGTCGGGTGCTCTACCAGGCAACACTTTCTGGGTACTGCAGTTCTCTTCTTTTCCTTATTTAGTCAAAGTGTGATTGAATTAAATACTGGAGAAAGTATAAAAAATTAAAGCTACATAAAATTAATTTTAGAAAAAAAGTTTAGATGATATATTGAAGTATCCTATTGAAAAGCCTAACTCTTGGAAACTCATCTAGTAGAGGAAAATATACACTTAGAAAAGCAAAATTCTTTCTTGAAAATATATTTAACAAATTCTTCCTATGTAATAAAACTGTTAGGGCTGAGCTTGGTGGCGCAAGCCTATAATCCCAGCACTTTGGGAGGCTGAGGTGGTGGACCACCTGAGGTCGGGAGTTCAAGACCAGCTTGACCAACATGGAAATATCCCGTGTATACTAAAAATACAAAATTAGCTAGGCGTGGTGGTGTGTGTCAAGATGGCCAAAGGGAGACCTATGTTAATTCGATCTAAATAATTATAAGCTGGCTTGCCTCAGAGTACACTGAAGTTTATATACTGAACTAAACTGTATTATTGGTGCAGTTAATTAGAAATCAAGCGGCAACAGGAGGCCTAAGGTAAAGACCATCGAGAGGGCAGTAACACTGGGGAACACCTCGGGATTGCTGCAGAGCAGGGAATACTGCTCTCGTCCCACGAATGCCTTCTCAACATGGAGACTGCATGAGAGTCTCCTAATGAGGGCTTGTGCAAAGATCTGAGAAGGGAGGCAACCTCTGCTCACAAGATCTGGGAGGGTCTTTGCGGATGAGAGCTGGCAGGGAGAAAAGCCTTGCAGGGCAGAGATCAGGGAACGCCTCAGGCTCTGCCTAGGTTCTCAAAATATGGAGTGATTTTAATTGCTCTATGTCCTCCAAGCTCAGGAGACAAAAGCCCCTTGATGCATTGGGTGTGGTGAGACCCCTAGCTCCTCCTCTGCTATACTTCTGATGCTGTCGCACCCTGATAACAATCAATCAGTGATAAACTCAGAGTACTAGTTTAGCATGTCTTAGAAGGACCTCAAGTGCTGTTAAATGCGTAGAGCACAGTTTAGCATGTCTTAAGAGTATCTCAAGTACTCTCGGCCCCCCTTTTTACCATCCCCTTCACATCCCCTCCACACTCTCAATGAGATTATGCACATAATAAAGGTGCTTGAGCCCAGAACTTGGGGCCAACTCGATTTCCAGTGTTTTCCCCTAGACCTATGCTGTAAATTCTACTCTTGTGTCTGTGTTTATTTCCTTTTCTCAGTCCCTCGACATGGCCCGGACTAAGGGCACCCACGTTTGGGGTTGGGGCTGGTACCCAACACGGTGGTGCATGCCTGTAATCCCAGCTACTCGGGAGGCTGAGGCAGGAAAATCATTTGAACCCAGAAGGCAGAGGTTGCAGTGAGCCGAGACTGCGCCACTGCACTCCAGCCTGAGCAACAAGAGCAAAACTCCGTTCCAAAAAAAAAGAAGAAAAAGAAAAAACTGTTACGTAATCATCAGCATAATTTTTATATAGCTAGGTGTCATAACTGTATTTTTAATTTTACCATACAATGTTATCTTTAGTTGTACCTATTAGGAAGGCATTTATACAAGACATTAGTAAAAAGCTAAAGTAATATTCAAAGCTGTAAAGAAAGTTAACTGCAAGGATTAAGAACATATCCTCAAACTGCTACTTTGCTCACATTTTTCCTACCATTAATCTGATAAATTGCTGTGCTCACAGTGCTAAATATCCATCTTAAATAATCATAGTTCTATTTAAGCATAGAAATGTCTTTTTTTGAAAGTCATAAGTGAATCTTCTGCTTACAAGTTTACCCTACGGCAGACTGAATTATTTTTCTTAACCTACTGCTCTATAAACGTAGAAGTAAAAAGTATTTGCAATAAAATTCAGGATTTAAAACTTTTTTATTGCTAAAACCAAGCTGCCTTCATACCATACCTTTTGGATGGCTGTAACAGGATTTGCTCCTTGTCAGCTTTCATCTCTTTACCTCTTGACCACACTATTAATTACTGGAAAAAACCACAGCTGTACACTTACCTAGGTTTTAAAATCACACACTGAAAAACTAACTAAAATTATACTTCTAAATAACCTAAAACTGCTTCAAAGTTATATTCGATATTTTGAAATAAAAGCAAGCGCCTCAAGATTAGAGGTGCAAATAAATTATAGAAAGTGTATTTTCAGAAAGAAAACAAAACAAAAGGTGCACACACACACACAAAAGAAAGTGTTTTCAGGCCTTTCAACCGCGAATGCTCTTTGTTTCTAACTGGAAAGGGGGAGTTAATAGAAATAGAACACTAAGAAAAAGCACGTCCTTGGAGACACATCGCTATTTTGGTTGACGGAATTTCGTATATAAAAACATCTTAAATTGTACTTCTTCCCAAGCTTAAAGTCCTTAAAATGAGAAAACCGAAAGGTGAATTCAAGGCCAGCGCGTTTTATTTCCGCTGTCCCAGAAGCGCTGGGCGCTCCCAAAGCTCCGCTCCAACAGCGCCGCGCCGCGCTCTCAGCAGCGCCTCCGCTGGCTTCTCCCAACCCCAAGCCCAGGGCAAAGCCTCTCGCACACCTGGACGCCAGCAGGTGACCCGCGACCCACTCCGGGGATCTGGTACGAACCGGCCAGGAAACCACCCCCGCCCGGAGGAGGGAGCCACTGTCACCTGGCCTGGAGGGAGGTCCCCACCCCAAACATGGGAGAGGAACGAGCCACTGTCACCCCAGCCCTGAGGGGCGCCCACTCTCACCCTTGCCGGGAGGGCCGTCCCCACTGCCACTCTGGCCGGGAAGGGCGCCCACTGTTATCCCTGCCAGGAAAGGCATCTCCATTGTCACCCTGGCCAGGAGGGACGCCCACTGTCACCCCCTGCCTGAAGGGCACCCACTGTCACCCCCTGCCTGAAGGGCACCCACTGTCACTCCTTTCTTGAGGGGTGCCCACTGTCACCCTGCCGGGAGAGGACAACCACTGTCACCCCCGCCCTGAGGGGCGCCCACTGTCACCATGTCGGGGGAGGACACCCACTGTCAGCCCCGCCCCGAGGGGCGCCCACTGTCACCCTGGCCGGGAGGGGCGCCCACTGTCACCGGCTCTCTACGCCGTCCGCTTCGGGACGTGGGGATCTGGGAGGGATCTGGGTAGGGGCCCCCTGACAAGCGCGGCCTCTCTCCCGGGCCCGGGCCCACCCGCTGCCTGGAGCCACCGCGTCCTCGCGGCCGCCCTTGTCGCGGACTGCACCGGTCACAGCCTCCCGGGCGCCCCCGGATTGCAGGGTCCGGCCTGCGGTGCTCGTCACCTCATGAGGTAGTCCCGGAAATCCTTGCTTCGGACATAGTCGGCCGCTTTCCGCACCAGCGCGCCAGCCATGGTTGTTCCGGACACCAGACCCCAAGTCCTCCGTGCCGCTGCTGCCGCTTCCCGGAGCCTGACACTCCGACCAAAGCCGCGGCGCCGGCCGAGGGCGCCCTAGCCGTGGGCCCGCCTCACGACACTCGGGCACGCCTTACGGCCGCATCGCGCCGTCCGGTTCTCGGCCAATGACAGGGTGCAGGGCTGGAGATGGTGGCGCGGATTGGCTGGCTTGTGCCGCACACCTCCTTCCCGCCCCCGGTGGCGCGCGGGGGCGGGGCCCACTGCCGTAAAATGGCTGGGGCCAGGCGGGGACTGCTGGCGTTTGCGAGGCCCCCGCAGCTCTCGGCCCTCCTGGGCGTGGGGGTAGCATCTCTGTGACCCGCAGGGCTGTGGCGCCCCTGCGGAGCGTCGCGCGGTCGGGGGGCGCCCTGCGGGGGTGCCCCTGCGGCGCAGCGCGCCGTGGGCCTGGCCGAGTTCCCGCGGCGCTAAGGGCCTGTGTCTGCGCCGGTTCCGGGCAAGTGCAGCTTGGCCAGGCGGCCCGCATACCCCGCGCTTCCCGCGCCCACGTGGGCAGACCCAGCCGGGGAGCTGGGCCCGCCTGCGGTTTCCTGGCCCTTGGAGTGCGCAGAGCCCCGGGCCAGAGATTGCAGGCGGGGCCCTTGGCTTCCCCCGAGCACTTTCCCCGGACTGGTCCATCCAGCGTGGCGAGCGGCACCCAGCGCCCGCGCCCATCACCCACCGCGCTGCAGCTACGGGCTCAGGAGGGAGCCGCAGTGTCGGAAGAGGAAAGCATTCAAAAATAGCACAAAGCCTTAGGCTGGAGGAAGCGTGACTGCTTAGGTGTTGAAAATAAAGCTTCTGTAAGTCCACCGCGGGTGCATATCGAAAAGAGAAGGAACCATTAGCACGCTGCTCTCGCCTGGGAGTATATAATCCGCAGCACGACCTCCGGATCACCAAGGCAGAGAGAGGAACACATTGAAGGCTTTTGCTCATTTTTCCAGGTTGTTTCGTTTCTGACATGATCAGTCAATTAAAATGATTCTGGTGGCCAGGTGCGATGGCTGACGCCTGTAATCCCAGCACTTTGGGAGGCCGAGGAGGGTGGATCACTTGAGGTCAGGAGTTTGAGACCAGCCTGGCCAAGGTAGCCAGGCACGGTGGCAGGCGCCTGTAATCCCAGCTACTCGGGAGGCTGAGGCTCGAGAATCGTTAAATCCAGGAGGGGGAGGTTGTAGTAAACCGACATCGTGCCGTTGCACTCCAGCCTGGGCAACAGAGCAAGATCTGTCTCTAAAATAAAAACTAAAATGCCTCTGGTGAACAGGAATTCTCAACGTTGGTGACCCGCAGTGTATTAGTGTTAATAACGGACATCCCCTTTGACCCAGCAAGCCCATCTAGAGAGTTCCTAGGATAGACAAACCAGTTTGTGCAATTTCATGGGTACAGCATTGTTTTTAGTATGGAAACATTAGAGTTTGCATATCCCAAAAAAAAAACCAAAACAATTGAATTCCACTTCTTGCAAAAAGGAAAAAAAAAAATAGAGTTTACATATCCATAGGGAGAGAGTTAAATCAATGATGGTGCACCCATTCAGTGGATTAGTAAACAGCTGTTAGGGGAAAAGGAATTCTGTATGTGCTGATATGAAATATCTTTTTTATTTTCAAGAAAAATTCCAGATTCAGAACAGCGTATGAAGTACGCTACTCATTGTGCATAGGGACAAAGAAAATGCATACATTCACATTTGCAAAGATACTGGAGAAATGTTAGTAGTGGCGGCCTTTAAGAATGCCGAAGAGTGACACTGACTTTTCACTGTATCTTCCTTTGTTCTTTTTGAAATTTGTATAATCATCATATGCTATCTATTCACAATAAGTGGTGTTAAAGAAGAAGAAATGCGTTTAACATTTATATTCACCTTGACAGATGGGTTCATCTTTGTAAGAACTGATTCACTTTGAACAAAAACATTCATTTCAAGCCTACATCACTTCACGTTAACTCAGTTCACCTGCTTGTTTCAACTGAGTTGTAATAGCATTGAATTAAAAAGTTACTGCATAGATCAAAAAACGTATCTTCGATTTTGGGGTGTAATTGGTTTTTTTCTTTTGCTGTTATCACCCACGTTGGAGGGCAATGGCGCGATCTTGGCTCAGCATAATACCATCTCCCAGGTTCAAGTGATTCTCCTGCCTCAGCCTCCTGAGTAGCTGGGATTACAGGCATGCACCCCTATGCTGTGCTGATTTTGTATTTTTAGTAGAAACGGGCTTTCACCACGTTGGCCAGGCTGGTCTTGAACTCCCGACCTCAGGTGATCCACCTGCCTCGGCCTCCCAAAGTGCTGGGATTACTAGCAGGAGCCACTGTGCCCAGCAGGGTGTAATTGTTTCAGCTAATCTGCATAATGCTGTTTATTGTAATGCAATTTACTGCCTATATATTCATGTTAGAAACAACTATAAAATCATTATTATTGACTTATATTCCAGAATGTTTAATTGCCAATAAATATTCCTGTCTACCTGGGTCACAAAGAAACTTTTACATGAAGCTTTTAGACTTCAGGGTCAGCTCTTCCATCTGCTTTGTGACATGCTGAGAAAATGAATCACTGCTGTGTGTTTTGATTCTTGAGTATTTGGTAACCTTTCCCTTTATTTATTTCTTTATTGAGACAAAGTCTTGCTCTTTCTCCCAGGCTGGAGTGTAGTGGCACAATCTCCACTCACTGCAACCTCTGCTTCCCAGGTTTAAGGGATTCTCCTGCCTCAGCCTCCCGAGTAGCTGGGACTACAGGCACACACCTCCATGCCCAGCTAATTTTTGTATTTTTAGTAGAGACAGGTTTCACCATATTGGCCAGGCTGGTCTTGAACTCCTGACCTTGTGATCTGCCTGCCTCAGCCTTCCAAAGTGCTGGGATTACAGGTGTGAGCCACTGTGCCTGGCCACCTTTCCCTTTAAGAAATTCTTGAGTTGGTTGGAGTTAAAGTAGAATAAACCTTTGCAAAACTCTTCATCTCAACCAACGAACACCAGCAAATTAATTAAATTTCTTTCAATAGTTCTAGAAACCAATAGTGACTCATGACATTTGCTCACATATACTGAACTATTTAAAAAACTGTCCATGGGGAAGAGGTGGGGCAAGATGGCTGAATAGAAGTCTCCGCAGATTGTCGTCCCCACAGAAACACTGAATTTGACAACTGTCTACACAAAAAAATCACCTTTATAAGAACGGAAAATCGGGTGAGTATTCACGGTACCTGGTTTTAGGTTTATATTACTAAAAGAGCAGGAAAGACAGCCTTGAATTGTCTACATCACTCCTCCCCATCCCCTGGCAGCTGCCATGTGATTCAGAGAGACAGTCTGCATATTGGGAGAGGGAAAGCACAGTGTTTATGGGACTTTACTTTGGAACACAGCACTGTCGACACCAGGAAGAATTCAGCTGATACCCAAAGGGGGAGCACGTAGACAAGCCCTAGCCAGAGAGGACTTGCCCATCCCAGTGGTTGGAAGTTGAAGGGAAAACTTGGAATTCTAAGGGTGTTGTCCAGGCCTCTCTGGACCCATTTCTTTCTTTTCTTCTTCTTCTTTTTTTTTTTTTTTAATGGAGTCTCACTCTTGTGGTCCAGGCTAGAGTGCAATGGCGCAATCTCAGCTCACTGCAACCTCCGCCTCCCGGGTTCAAGCAATTCTCCTGTCTCAGCCTCTCGAGTAGCTGGGATTACAGGCATGCGCCACCACGCCCGGCTAATTTTGTATTTTTAGTAGAAACAGGTTTCTCCATGTTGGTCAGGCTGGTTTCGAACATCCCAACCTCAGGTGATCTGCCCATCTCGGCCTCCCAAAGTTCTGAGACTACAGGCATGAGCCACCACGCACGCCCTGCTGCTCTGGACCCATTTCTAAATGTGATATGAGAGAAGGAGTAAGTAGCCAGCTGAAGTGGGGCATATTTGAGGTGAATGTGCCCTAACACAATTACATAGATTATCCAGAAACATTAAACTGCAGAGTAAGATCTGTCTATTCCTCAGAAACCTTTCACCCACAAAGTGGTTTAAAGTTTGACTGTGTTGAATTTGTTTGCTTGACCTCGAAGAGACTTCCACGTGGATGGCTGTGATGAGACTGGACATAGCCCTCAGCAAGTCTGAGAGCTAATATTTGTGCACATGCATCTATGCCGTGGCCTGACTTCACTCTTCCAGGGAGCAGGTGCAGCTTAGCTGCCTCCCCGGTCGATCAGGCAAAGTTTGGTATCCTTGGATCATTCACCCAAAGGGGACATGGCCTGCAATAGTAGCAAGTTACTGTCAACAAGTCTGCAGAGGGAGAGAGGGAACCGGTGCTGGCTGGGTTGACTCTGTTCCATGCGTTTCACAACTCCCTAGCCCTGGCGTCTCTAAGGAGGAGGAAGCAGCTTGCCCTCACGGCAGGTCACGTTTCAAGTCATCAGGCTCCAAGGTGCTGATTTTTGTCCCGGCACAGCTCATAATGGCTGGAGCTACAGTTTTAACCTCTGACTTCCAGGTGCCAAAGTGTACACATTTTTCTGCTTTCATGCCCTGCTAGTCCTGTATGTGGAAATTAAGTTTTCCTGTGGTTTTTGGGGTGGGAGAGGTGGCAGCAGAAGGAAGGGGATGTTCTTCCTAAGAAGTCAGGCCCAGCTCAGACCTTCCATGTGGCTCGCACCCGTGTCTGTGTTTTCTCACTCATGGCCATCACGCCTTCTTTCATCCACTCCACAGCCCTGCAAGGGCCTGCCCAGGGCCTGAGTGCATGTGGAGTTCAGGTAAACACAGATAAGCCTTCAGCTGTGCTCACAATCCAACTGAAGAAATAGGCTAAAAGAGAGGGAGGCAGGTGAGGGAAGAAAGAGAGAGAGAATCATTGCATCCAAGATTATGCTAATGACAAAGGGGCCAGAGGCAGAGTGCCGGGAGGGAGCCGATCTTTAAGGGTGGGTGGGGTGGCTTCTGCGGGCAGGGTAATCCGGGAGCCTTTCTGAGGAGGTGAGATCTAAACCAGGAGCAGGAGGCAGAGGCCTGGGCAGGTGCCCCAGGCAGAGGAGACAGTAGACGAAGGGCCCCGCATGTCCCGGTAGCCTCACGGAGGGAGGCTCGAGTGAGGGATCAGCTTTATCCTGAGCTTGGATCAACTCTGTCCCCTGCAGGGAAAGGAGGCTTGCAGTGCCTGCATGATGGAGGTGCTCGCATCCCCGACCAGCTCCAGTGTGGGAACCACATGGGCAGCCCCTGAGATTCTGGAAAAAGTCACGCCCTTCAGCAAATAGCTGTTTTCTTTTTGAGAAACGTATTTCTCCTGGGCCCTGGAAGACTGAATACTTGGCCAGGGGACCCCAGGAGCCTGAATGCCCTTCACACAACGCTTCTCTCGGACTCACCTGGCCGAGAAGCTAATGTGCCCAGCAGGGGTCCCTCAGGAGCAGAAATGGATAGGTGCTACCCAGGGGGGCAGACCCCCAGCACGGGGGTGTGCTGTATGAGCAGGTGCCCAGGCCCCAGGGCACCTTCCACTGCACTTTTCCTGTGGCCTCAGGGAGGAGGGGGCCCTCTCTGACCAGATGAGTAAGAGGGTCCCCCCATGCCTGGTCTGGTCTGTAGACAGCTCTGTACATGTGCAGACCCCGGTAAGCTGACCACATGCTGCTTCTGCTCCAGTAACACCTGCGGACTCACCCAGGCTTACCCTCATGGTAATCACACAGTACTGTTTCTGACCAAGAAGCTCACAGCAAAGTGTTACATGCTGAGTATCTGGGTCCTCCCAGTATTCATGTGCCGAAGCCGTGTCCCTCCATGTGATGGTGTCTGGAGGTAGGGCCTTTGGGAGGGTTAGGTTTAGATGACGTCGTGAGGGTGCAGCCCCGTGATGGGATTAGTGCCCTCCTAGGAAGGGAAGAGAGGCATCTTCCTACAGCCATCTCTCTCTGCCGTAGGTGGACACACAGTGAGAAGGTGGCTCTTCAGGCCAGGAACAGGAGCCTCACCAGGAACTACAGCTGCTGTCACTGTGAACTTGGACTTCCAGCCTCCAGGATGGCCAGGAAC